ATTTTTGTAAGAGATTTTGTCTAGATATAAGAACAGTCCTGAAAAAGGTTTCTTCTTAATAACATATTCAGGACTCAGGTTCCCATATTCTTCTTGCATTATGTGTCGGTAATCCAACAGCAGTTTTTCATTTCTGTATCGTGGGACACTTTCAAGCTGAAACTCCCAGACGCCCTTATAAATATTTATTACAAGGTCACTGCACTTATCAGAATGAAAGGAACAAGATGGTAAAGAACTCATGTCATAAAGAATCCACAGCATACCTTTATCTTTTTTACTTTCTTTTCTGTAATCTTGCTGTCTTCCTTTCCTACTTCCTATTGTGAAAGCTTACTTATATTTTAAGTTGTATTTCTTAATTTGAATGAATTAACATATTGATTGGATGGAAAAAATGTCAGCAGATCTTTACTGAGTGTCCATATAGGCTAAACACTCTGCCAAGTACCTGTTAGCCGCTCAGGACCCTAACCTCAAGATGCTCAGAGCTTAAAGGGGAGAAAGACATATAAGCAATTGGCATGCCAAAGTTGAGGGAAGAAATGCCAAAGAAAGCACAGGTTATTAAGGGAACATAAGACAGGAGCACCAGCTCCACCTGGGGAAGTTAGTAAAGACCTTCCAAGAGAAGTGACACTTAAGTTGGCACTGAGAGGACGTAGGAATTTTCCAGATAGACAAGGTGAAATGAAAGGCATTCTAGGAAGAAGGAACAGCTTGTGCAAAAAACATGAAGTCATGCAGTTATGTGGCACATTGGGAGAATAATAAGTCATTTGTTATGCACCTATAAGTTCTGTAAGACCGGGAATTCATGCTGAATCCTCAGCATCCAGAATAATACCTGTAGCGTAGTAAGCATTAAGTAAATATTTGTTGGATGAGTGGATGGAAGGAAGGAAGGAAGGAAAGAAAAAGAGAAGGAAGGAAGGAAACATAAATGAGGCCAGAGAGTTAAGAAAGGTTCTCATCTCTCTGATAAGAGAGAGAAAGATAAAGTGATAAAAGAGCCTTGCTTAGCAACATTTAGCAAATATCTGCCATGGAGATTCAAAGAGGAATAGGAGGAGATGTTGTTCATAGTCTACTTGGGAAGAAACAACAAATACAAAAATATCTGTAATATGTTGTAAAAAAAAAAATGACATGCCATGAAAAGTACCTAAGAAGTGTTTAAAAAGTTTCAGAGGAAGTAGAGGTACATTTCAGCTGAAGCAATCAGAGAAGTTGTCATTGGAGCTAGACTCTTTGGAGTTGCTTATACTTGGTTCTAAATTGTTTGGTTTCAAAAAACAAAAAGAAAGTGCATGGAGTTGGAGAGAAGTTATGGCAGAAGAAGGATGTGAATTTGGGACTAAACCGGACAGGCTTGCCTGCTCTGTTATAAATTGATCAGCGTTTTATAGGTAGCCATTTATCAGCCTGCACCACTTCCTTGGAAGCAGATCCTGACAGGCTCTAATGTTATCTGTAGCAAACACCTTTTTCTTGTTTATGAGGGTATCTGTATGTATGTTTATGCTTGCACCTGCACATCAGTGATTTGGAGACCTCTTTCTACAGAGACTAGCACTGAAGGGGACGCATCAACTGAAACACAAGCAAAACTATTAACAGCGGCTTTTTAAAATGCATCTTGCTCCCCACACACTTACATGTATATGCATGCACCTGCAACATGCACACACACAGTTCTGTAAGCAGCGTTCTGGGCAAGGTTTTAGATGACTATAAATAAATGGTACTTAGTTTGATTTTCCTCAGCTCTATCCTGTCTGGCTATACCTTAATCTTCATTTCAGTCAAAGGCTTTTTAGGCACCAGTTATATCCCCTGACCTGCTAGATGCTGTAAAGAGTTTATGTAAGAAAATGAGTCATTAATTAATCCAATACATATTTATTGATAACCAGCTATGTGCCAGGTACTATTCTAAACACTGAGGATGCAACATGGGGTAAAAACAACCAATCCTTGCCCTCACGGAGTTTACATTTTGGGAGGTGGGTGCAGATAACCAACAAAAATGTGGTGGTGTAAGTGATGTAAGTGCTGGTGAGACCAGTATAGCAGAGTAAGGAGGAAAGAGAGTGTGAGGGTTGGGTGGTAGGAATGGCCTCTCCAATAATGTCACATTTCAGTAGCGACTTGAATGAAAGAATAAGCAATGGAAACATCTGGGGAAGGAGTATTCCAGGCAGAGGGAACAACTAGAGCAAAGACCCTGAGGTAGGAATTTATCTGGCCAGTGTTTAAGACCAGTTTGGCTAGAGCAGAATGGGCAAGGCAAAGAGTGGCAGGAGATGAGGTGAGAGATGAGGGACTGTCATATCAGGCCCATTGGCTATTGTGAGGACTTTGACTTTTACTCTGAGTGACATGAAAAGACATTGGAGGTTTTGCACATATAAGTGACATGTTCTGATTTACATATGGCTTTTCTGGCTTCCGTGTTGAGAAGAGATTGCAGGATGAAGGAGTGGAAGCACGAAGACTACAAAATGGTAGACTAGACCAAGTAAATAACAATGGAGGTGCAGAGAAGTGGTCAGATTGTAGATACATTTTGAACTGTTTGAACCAATAGGATTTTCTGATTAGATGTGGAATGTGAAAGAAAGGAGTCAACAATGACAACAAAATTTTTGGTCTGAGCTACTGGAAGGCTGGAGTTGCTATTAACTAAAATGGAAGAGATTGCAGGGAGAACAGGTTTGGGGGATATCAAGAGCTTAGTTCTGGGCACATTAAGTTTGAGATGCTTATTAGTGAAGAGTTAGATATAAGTCTCTGGAGTTCAATAGATGGGTCTGGGCTGGAGATATAAATTTGGTAATCGCAGCAATTAGATGGCTTTTAAAACTGTGAAACTGAATAAAATAACTTAGGGAATGGGTGTAGAAAGAGAAGGGAAAGAGTCTGTCACCTGAGCATTGGGGCATTCCAATGTTTAGAGGTCAGGGAGATGAGAAGGAACCAGCACTGCGGATGGAAAAAGAGGCCAGGGAGATAGGAGAAAAATTGAGAGTGAACATTGAAGCCAAATGAAGAAAGTGCTTCAAAGAGGACGGAATAATAAACTGTTATGAAATGTTGCTGAGAGATCAACTAAGGCCCCAGAGTTGTTTCAGCAGCACTGAAGTCTTTGGGACCTTTGTTGAGTTATTTTAGTGGTGGTGGTGGTGGTGGTGGTGGTTTTAGGGGGGTGGGCAGATTGATTAGATTGCTTTCAAAAAAAGAATGGGAGGAGAGGAAACCAAGATTAGTAGTATAGAAAACTCTTTGAGGTTTTACTGTAAAGAGTAGAAAAACTGGGCTGTAGTTGGAGGGGAACATGGGATCAAGTCAAGCTTTTAATTTTTTTTTCCTAAGATGGGAGAAGTTGGTTTCCTGATGGGAACAATCCTAGTAGGGAGGGAAAATGCAGAGATTCAGAGGAAGGGGAAGTTGTTAAAGTGATGTCCCCATGTTGGTGAGAGGGGAATGCACAGGTGGAAGAAGGTTGGCCTTAGATTGGATAAGATGTCTGTGCTCCCTGGTAACAGAATTCTTGGCTACAGATACAGGCCACTTGGTAAACGTGGTGATGGAGCATGTGTGAATTCTCTTCTGATTGCTTATATTTTCTCATGAAATAAGAAAAAAAGGAGTAGAAGTGTTGGAGATTTAAAAAGAGAGAAGTTCAGAGATTGTTGCCAAATAGGAGGAGAAAGACAGACTTGGTAAATGTAGTAGGATTATTGGGCAACACGAGGGCCCATTTGATTTAAAATGAGACCAATCAACATAGTTGTATGGTTTTCTCCAGCTATATACAGCTGAGTGGGAACAGGCAGAGCCTCAGGCTTAGCCAGAGGTTGTAGTTTTCCTAGATAAATAAGAGGAATGGAGAAAGAAGCAAGAGAAGGATTATAATGAAGTCCGCTAGGGAGGCACATGAGGCCAGGGATGGAAGGTAAGAGAGAGAAGACAGTAGGATTAATGGAGTGAAGGTCCTAGTGGGATCCAAAGAATTATAATAATCAAATCCTTGGCATTCCTAGTGCTTTAGACTTGTATATGAAGTGCTTTGGGTGGACTTGCATAATAAAAACCCTGTAAGGTAGGTAGGTGGTGGTGGTCGTGTTGATTCTCATTATATAAATGGGGCAAGATCCAAAGAGGTAAATGACTATCTAAAATCACACAGAAAGTCAGTGGTAAAGCATAGACTTAACCCAAGGCTCTCTATTTTATGTAACATCTTTTTACTACTTTGTGTGGTGTCTGCTCACAGATTGCTGTCTTGTTGAAGAGAGGGAATGTAGAAAACAACATAGGGAACATGTAATCAACTGTTGAATTCTATAGTATGGAATGATATAAGGAGTTTATTCATTCACTAATACATACTGAGCGCTTAGTATGTGCAAGTCTCCAGTATAAGTACTAGGGATATAGCAGTGAATGTGACAGGAAAAAAATCCTAAAATTATATGCTTCAGAGGAGTGTTAGAAAAGTTTCTCTGTCATTCTAACAGGGCATCATGATTGGTAAAAAAAAAAAGCACATTGTACGTTTTAGGAAACTTGTTTTTTCACTACTTACTCTGACATTGTTGCTTCAACTTACCATGTCTTAGTGGGGGTCCCCATCCGTAAACTGAGATCTTATGGTTTTGCAAGTTCCACCCTGCCTAAAAGTACCATGAGTTTGAGTCTGTATTCTAGCCTAATGGAATAGTTGCTCTAAAGTGTTTTAGTCCTCGTCTAACTTCCTGATCTAAAAAGTGGGAATGCCACACCTCATTTCATAGTGGTAATACCCTGTTTCCGTAGTGAAATGCTGCACTAACAAGCTTTCTAAAATATTCCGTTTTTGAAACTCTGAGGCAAAGTGTGAAAGGGAGATAGAGGCCGTATTCAGCCTGCAGGTACAACAGTCCCCTCCTTAACCTAGTGACATCTGAGAACCTGTTAAAAGCTTTGAAATAACTAATGACTTTTTTCCCTCTTCTTACTCCTTCCTGTTCAGGCCTGGAAGAAACGCTGGTTTATCCTGCGGAGTGGCCGGATGAGTGGTGACCCAGATGTTCTGGAATACTACAAGAATGATCACTCCAAGAAGCCCCTGCGGATCATCAACCTGAACTTCTGTGAGCAGGTGGATGCAGGCCTGACCTTCAACAAGAAGGAGCTGCAGGATAGTTTTGTGTTTGACATCAAGACCAGCGAGCGCACCTTTTACCTGGTGGCTGAGACAGAGGAGGACATGAATAAGTGGGTCCAGAGCATCTGCCAGATCTGTGGCTTCAATCAGGCTGAGGAGAGCACAGGTACGAGAACAAACACAGACCTCTCTCAGAAGGGGCAAGATGGCTTAGCGGTAGGGGCTGAGATGAGGCCTTCGTCTCTCCTTGAGCAAAGAGAGCAGGCTGTAGCTAAAAGCTTTCCTCTTTGGCAGATGAGTAATAGGCAAAGAGTAAGAATATGAAGGGGTTGGCCGAATATTAGAGGGACTCCTGGCTCTAATTACACTCAAATGGGAAACTAAGATATGTTGGGGTTGTGATGAAGCTAAAAGTACTTTGTGCTAAAGTTGCTTTCTTCAGGTCCCTCAACACCACCCCATTTCTCAACCCTGCATCTTTCTCCCCTTCCTTCAGCTCTCTAGCACTCTGTACCCTGTTACCTATCAGCCATCCCATAGGGCAGCTCACCCCTTGATCCCTTCTCTGGTCCATCTCTGTTCTAGCCCGTCTATTTGACACCATCATGCCCAGTGACACTTGCCACTTTTGTTTGTATGGGGTCCTGTGTGATTATTATTGATGTATAATCCAGTGTTTATTTATATGCACTTGGGAGGGGACAGGTGAAGAAGGGTAAATAACTGATTTATGTTTGTGTTTTGTTAACCTTCATGAAAGGGTAGCTTGGTTTTTTTCTTTTTTTGGTAAAGAAGATTTGCCCTGAGCTAACATCTGTTGCCAATCTTCCTCTTTTTGCTTGAGGAAGATTGGCCCCAAGCTAACACCTGTGCCAGTCTTCCTCTATTTTGTATGTGGGTCACTGTCACAGCATGGCTTGATGAGTGGTGTAGGTCCATGACAGAGATCCGAACCCATGAACCTGGGCCTCCGAAGAGGAGCGCACCGAACTTAACCACTATGCCACTGGGCCGGCCCCATCAGCTTTTTGAAATGAGTTTTAAATTGCAGAAATACTATCAGACATTTGTTTGGACTCATCCCCAACTGTGGGATGATTGAAAAGCGGGTTTCTTTTTGAGGCAGGCGGAGAGCCTAAATCAGTAGTGCTTAAACCGGGTTGTACATCAGAATTAAAGAGGAGCATTTAAAAAAGATTGATGCCAAACACCCATGACAAATCAGTTAACTAAGAATCTCTGAGAGAGGGACCTAGGCATTTGCGTCTTCTGAAAGTTTCATTCTAAGTAGCAAGGGTCCAGGGCTCAGGAACCATTTTCTGTAAATATTTGAAGGCCACATATAGTCTCTGTTTCATATTCCTGTTTTAAAATTTTTTTTACAACTCTTTAAAAACATAAAAACTATTCTTAGCTCATCAGCGAATTAACATCATCTGGGAACCTGTTAAAAATACACTCTTGGACCTTACCCCAGACTTACTGAATCAGAAACTCTAGGGATGGGGCCGAGCAATCTATGTTTTAATCTGCCAGGTAATTATGATGCACAGTTAAGTTTGAGAACCACTAGTCTAGACTCTTGGTACTCAGAGTGGGGTTTGTGGACCACCGGCATCAGCTTCTCCTGGGAACTTGTTAGAAAGGCAGAGGACTTCTGCTCAGACTTACAGGATCAGAATCTACATATGTTTACAACTTCTTATTTTGAAGTAATTTTGGACTTACAGAAGAGTTGCAGAATTGTACGGCAAGTTCCCGTATACCTTTCCCTCAGCCTTCCCTATTGTTAACATCTTATTTAACCATGATACGATTATCAAAACTGACAATTACCGTTGATTGGTATAATACTATTAACTAAACCACAGTTTATTTGAACGTCAGCTGTTTTTCACCAATGTCTTTATTCTGTTCGGGATTCAACCCAGGCTACCACATCAGATTTAGTGGTTGTGTCTCCAGATCTCCTCCAATCTGTAACAGTTTCCCAGTCTTTCTTGTCTTTTTTTTTGAGCTCGACACTTTTTACACAGTAGTACCTGTTGGCCATTTGAATGTCTTCTTTGGAAAAATGTCTATTCAGATCGTTAGCTCATTTTTTAATCAAATTATTTGTTTTTTTGCTGTTGAGTTGTGTGAGTTCCTTATATATTTTGGATATTCACTGCTATCAGATCTATGGTTGCAAATATTTTCCCCACTCCGGGGGCTGCCTCTTCATTCTGTTGATGGTTTCTTTTGCGGTGCAGCTTTTCAGTTTGATGCAGCCCCTCTTGTTGATTTTTGTTTTGTTGCTTGTGTTTTTGGTGTCGTACCCAAAAAATCATCACCAAGACCGAGGTCAAGGAGCTTTTTCCCTATGTTTTCTTTTAGGTGTTTTATGATTTCATGTCTTACATTTAAGTCTTTAATCTATTTCGAGTTAATTTTTCTGAGTGGCGTAAGACAGGGATCCAATTTCCTTCTTTTGCATGTGGCTGTCCAGTTTTCCTAGCACCATTTATTGAAGAGACTGTCTTTTCCCTGTTAACTATTCTTGGCTCCCTTGTCAAATATTAGTTGACTGTAGGTGCATGGGTTTATTGCTGGGTTCTCGATTCTATTCCATTGATCTATGTATCTGTTTTTATGCCAGTACCATACTGTTTTTGTGTGTGTGTGTGTGTGAGGAAGATCAGCCCTGAGCTAACATCCATGCCAATCCTCCTCTTTTTGCTGAGGAAGACTGGCCTTGGGCTAACATCCATGCTCATCTTCCTCCATTTTATGTGGGACACCGCCGCAGCATGGCCTGACAAGCGGTGCATCGGTGCACACCCGGGATCTGAACCCGGGCCACCAGCAGCGGAGCACGAGCACTTAACCACTACGCCACGGGCCGGCCCCAGTACCGTACTGTTTTGAGAACTGTTGCTTTGTAATATAGTTTGAAATCAGGAAATGTCATGCCTCCAACTTTGTTCTTCTTTCTCAGGATTGCTTTGGCCATTTGGGATCTTTTGTGGCTCCATGTGAACTTTAGGATTGTTTTTTCTATTTCTATAAAGGATGCCATTGGAATCTTGATAAAGATTGTGTTGAATCTAAAGAAGGCTTTAGGTAGTATGGACATTTTCACATTATTAATTCTTCCAGTCCATTAACATGACATATCTTTCCATTTATTTGTGTCCAAGTTCTTAACCTTTGAACAAGAGGCCCTGCATTTTCACTTTGTGCCAGGGTCTGCAATTGTGTAGCCAGTTGTGCTGGACTAGATGTCCTGCCCTCGGAATTCTGTGATTTTTATCTTCCTTGGGGAAGGATTATGAGCCCCCATTTTACTCTTAATTTCTTTGGCGTCTTCTTCGCTTCCTGTGTGGAATTTCTTGTTTTCCCCAAATCTTTGTCATTTATAGGCTTCCTGAATTTTGTTTTTGTTTTTCCCTTTATTTTATTCCTGATGAAGGAATAAAATTCTCATTGCAAAAAAAAAAAAAAAGAAAATAAGAAAGGAACCAAAAAGCTGGTGGGGTAGGGGGGGCCATAAACCTTCCAGTCTCAAAGCTTTCATATATATGAGAAATAGGTCTAAGGACTACCTCAGCTTTTTAGGAAATAGGTAGAATTGGGGGAAAAAGTAACAAGAAAGCAAATTGCTTTAACTGAATTATTTTCTTGTAGGATTAGAGATGTTCCTACCAAAAATAAAAAACATATCCTTGAGATGTAGCAAAAATTGCTCTTGGTGCAAATATCTTTTTTTTAAATCACGTATTTAAAAAACAGTTATTGTCTGAACCCTTACTATATAGGATTTAAGTACAATTCAAATATGGATATATAGAACTACATTCTCTGCTTGCTTTCTTTGGTAGGAAGATTCATTTGTTCATTCACACGTTGTTCATTCACTCATTCAGCAAACCTTTATTGAGCACTTATTCTATGCCAGTCCTTGTCATAACCACTGAGGCTACAAAAATGAATAAGAGGGTTCCAGTGCTCAGACATCATAGTCTAGTGGGAGGGACAGACGCATAAGGAGACAGTCGCAGGGCAGTGCTGTAACAGGCACCAGCAGGGATGGAGAGACCAGCCCACGCACCACCAGCTCAGGAAGGGAAGGAGGCGAGGGGAAATAGTAAGGAGGTGGCAGATAATCAAGTCAGTATTTTTCCAACAGCTTTGTCTGTTGAAGGATATATTCCCTTAAACCTTGAACTTCTTTTTTTAAGATTCTTTTACTAGATGTCTAGTGGTTTAATTACCAGAGCCCAGATATTAGTTGTCTATGATAGAGTTTAGGAATCTTTGTGAGATCTTGCTGATGAAGACAACAGGCTTTTCTTCCCTCTCATAGGAGAATCTCGTATGTTAAAAGATTCAGCCACGTAATGAGTTACGTTTTAATTTAGAAGCTTTCTTAAAAGTGGATTATATTTATAAAACCCTCAGGTAAGGAATTAGCGTTTAAACACGCAAGTCAGTGTTTTTTAGCAGAGAGTCAGGATTTGAGGAAAAGCAGGAAGGAAGTTAACATTTGACTACCTACTTAGCTTAAGTACCTTATTTCATTTAATCACTTTATCAACTGTTTCCAGTTTTTTCAAATAAGGAAACTGAGTGCTTTTTCTTCCCTGCCTAGCACTCCAGGACTAAAGCTCTTCTCAGTCTACACCTCTGTCTTGGCTGGGTTCAGACAAGCAGTCCAACTCTCATCTGACCCTGGAACTCGTCCTTAATGTAACATTGCTCTCCTTTGCTAGGGCCTGTGAGAATAATCTAGTCACCTAGGCGTTAGTATCAGCACCTGCCTTACGTAAGGAGCTCTCTGTACTGATGCTGATACCTAACCCTTAGCGGCCACACAAAGAAATAATAGCAGCTATGTATTGAGCATCTACTGTACAGACAGTAGGGACCTTATGTAAATTCCCTCTAAAAATTCACAGTAATCCTTTGAGGTAGTTAAGATTTTAACCCAAGGTCACATAGCTAGAAAACGACAGAGCCAAGATTCTTGTCTAACCCAGTTCTCACTTTGCATTATAATATGCCGTCTCTTTGTCCCTGACCCCCTGGAATACGAGCATCTGCCAGAATCAAGCCTAAATATTTTTGCCACTTTGGACACTATGTGTTGGACTGGAAGCACTCCCTGACTCCTTCCACCAGGGTCCT